CGATTGCAGAATAGAATAGGAGAAACGCTGAGGCTGCTCGAGTGGCTCTCATGTTGAATAACGACGTTGCTTTCTTTCCTTCTTTCGACATATTTCTACGACGAAAAACAGTAGAAAGTAAAGGTAGAAATGGTCCTTTCCTACGGGCGCCTCATAATCTTCTTCCTTGCCCGATGCTTTCTTATATGTTTCTTCTTTTATCTCTTTATTTTCTTTCTCCTTTTCTTTCTTTCCCGAGACCGTCTTTCAGCGGACCGCCATTATGCTTCCATATGACGACGGTGTTAATTAACGCTCTTTCACACCGACGCCACACACGTGGTTGTTAATAACTTCGTTCGACGCGTTTGCTTTAGAGACCACCTTCGTCTTCTTTTTCTTTTACTTTCTCTCTCTCTTTCTCTCCCTCTCTCTCTCTCTCTCTCTCTCTCTCTCTCTCTCTCTATCTGTATAGCGAGAGAGAGAGCGTTACTTTACGATCTCCGAGTCTTCCTCCTTTTTCGATCGTTAAATGCACACCTCGATATATTCTCTCTTCTCTTCGCAATAACGTCTTCTTTAGAGATCTTTCAACAGCGTTGATCAGATTTTTCTTTCATAAGGAAGGAAGAAAGATATATATATATGTGTATGTGTATATAGATGGATGGATAGACAAGATAGATACATAGATAGATGGATAGATAGATGAATAGATAGATAGATATAGAGATAGAAAATAGTGGCAAGAAGTAACTAGAATCTTCCTGGTGGCTAATTAAGATGAAGGATGACCATCGATAATTGTTCCTCTTCGACGTAGAATTCTTTTCTTTTCTCTTTCCTCTTTTCTTTTCTTTTCTGTTTTTCTTCTTATTCACTTTGTATCCGATGTTGTTATTACCTAACAAAGTTGGGGAAATACCGTCTGATAAATAAATACTCTACGTTAGTTTCTACGTAGGCGTCGATATCGCCGGTAGTGGATTATATTATTATACTAGTTACGAGAGCTGGTGAGAGAGTTGGTCGGTCGATCAGGCGACCTGTTTTGTTTATATCCGTTCTATACCACCTAGCAACTTTTCTTTTTCAATGTCACCGAATAGGTGACATTGAAAATGACTCTTTGTCATAATAAAATCATGGGATATATAAAAATTATCTCATCGTTAATTCAATGCTATTGAACAATCCTCTCGAACAATGATGACGTATGTATATGGATACATAACATATGTTTGATATTACGCTATAATTAAAATCGATCATGTGAATCGTCATAGGAATGAGGAACGTCATTTAAAATAACAAATCATTTTATACTCTCTTATACTATGTTTGTCTATGAACGTGTGTATCAAATGATTATCAATTTATAAAAATGATTGTTGCATTAAATCGATACTTTTTATTATTTAAACGTTCTAATTAAACAACTTTCTTCAGTCATTAGATCTAAATTTAAAAAAGTTCGATCCATTTTATAATTATTTTCTACTCTTTTTCTTATGCCTGAATACTTTTGAGTGTAAAAAAAAACGAAGGAAAAAAAAAGAAACAAAAAAAAGAAAGAAAAGAAAGATCGTATTAAAAAGAAAAGTAAAAAGAAAAGTATTAATGTAAAAGATTGTAAAAAAGTATTTCCTTTTTATATTTATAAATTTTTTTTTTCTTTTTCAAAAACTTTTTAAACTTATAAAAAAAATATTTGAAATTTATCGATAGTTCTAATGTCGTATGAAATTAATTGAAAACATTATTTGTTACAACTATGAATGTCTTATAAGTCCCCTTCTCCCCTCTCCCCCCTCCCTCCCACCCCTTCCACCCTCAAATGCCATACCTTATTTCGTCTAAAACATTTTCGTCTAAAACATTTTCGTCTAAAACATTTCGAAATCTTATTATATAGAAAATTTGAATTCATTGATCAATGAAGGTGTACCTTGAACGAGTCATTGAACGTCCAAGAGGAAACTCAGAGATTGGTGTAGCTATATCTAGGAAGTCTATTTACTATTATAAGCGAAGTGGGACCCTATCATCGTACAAGAGAGAAAAAGAGAGGGAGAGAGAGAGAGAGAGAGAGAGACAGAGTTTAACTTTATGATCTGGCAGGTTATAGAGACACCTTTTAATCCCACCTACACAATGGCTACGATGACGTAGGCGGCCATGACTGTTCCTATAACGAGCCAACGTAGAAAATTCTATCGACTCGATCATGTATCTCTTCTTCCCTTAGCTTGGATTATTCTAGGAATATGTTATTATACTTGGAACGAAGTATCCTCTCTTTCTTTCTTTCTCTCTCTCTCTCTCTCTCTCTCTCTCTCTCTCTCTTTATTTTTCTATCTATCTATCTCTATCTATCTAATGTATCAATCTATCTATCTATTTATCTCTCTTTCTTGATACAAGATCACGATGTTATATGCCATCATGATGCATCGATTTACAGAATGACTGACATAACTTGATTACTATAGCAAAGAAAATAGATATTTCTGTTCTTTATTGACATATGTAATGAATATTTCTTTCTTTCTTTTTTTTTTTTTACACATTTTTATTTTTATTACTAATTTTTTTACACGCGAGAAGATACACGCGAGAGAGAGAGAGAGAGAGAGAGAGAGAGAGAGAATTTTTTAAGCGTTAATTTAATTACTCAAAATAATTCATCTCCTTATTCTTTCTACATATTCTTTTTCTTTTTTTTTTTTTGTATCCTCGTAAAAACTTGGACGAACTTCGTTAAACTTTCTAAGAAATTTTGTTAAGCTTTCCCTTCATCTTTTTTTTTTTTTTGTTCCTTTTTTCTTTTTCCACGCTCGAAATCGCATTTAAAATGTCAAAGATTACAAGTTGAAGTAACCGAGTAACATAAACTCGTCGTGTCACGAAGTGTCTGGCGTTCACAAGAACACACCTCTTACTGTCGTATCTTTTCTATCTGCGGTTTATCTTTATAACTTTTAAACGGGCATCAACAAGCAACACACGATACACTGATGTAAAATGTGATGTAAGTGTAATAATTCAAGTGCACGCCTTCGAAAGTGAAACACCACGGTTTATTATCGTGTAACAGAGCAAGTTGAAATTGGGTCGTACCTATCAATCTCTTCCCTAGAGCATTGTCGAGAGTAAGTGAGACACCAAGATCTAGAATAGACTACGAAGATTTCTATAATTAATTAAGATGGATTTTACTCCATACCTTTACTTCATGAAGTCACGTAAGTGATGTAAGCTTCTTAGCTATTAATAGCATATGTATATATATATATATATATATATATATATATATATATATATATATATATTAGGTGGACCGGAAAGTAATGTCACTTTATTAAATTAAATTCAAACGAATAAATTTTTAACAAGTTTTTATTTTTAATCACAATCAAATATCGACATGCGCAGAAACGACATTACTTTCCGGTCCACTTAATACATGATATTTATATACAGAGTGTAAGAAAGTAACAAGATAGTACTTCAGAAATGGATTTCTAATATATAAAGGAAGAAAAAAAATTGACTCTATCAAGATGATTTCAAAAATCTTTGATTATTGATTCTTTCGAATCTTTGAAACTTTCAAGTATGATTTTAGTATGATTTATTTCAATAAATGTTTATTTTATTTGTTGAGATTAAATCCGAGATACTAATTGTATTATATTCAAATATATAACCGTGTACCAGTTGAATTATTTGTTTTACCTAACATCTTTAACATCCGCAAATGGATTATCATATTAGCACATTTAAAATTTAATGAGACGACGAGTTGTGAGACCTTAAAAATAGACATTTCGAACATTTTATTGAATGAAATGTCAATAGAATATATTATAATTTCAGCAAATAAATATAATTAGATTACGTTAAGATCATACTTGAATATTTTATTATTCACTGTCGTATATTAAGTATTTTTGAATTCATCTTGACAGAAACTATTTTTCTTCTATGATTAATTCTTTCCCAAAGTTTACCTGTGTCGTTTCGTGTATATATATATATATATATATATATATATATATATATATATGTGCTAAATTTAAAATAATGGAAGTTGTAAGTTACATTGATTAATAATGAAACAATCTTCTCATCGTAACAGTTCCTTTAATGATCAACTGAGAAATGTCACGGTTACCATGACAGACAATAAATGAACTTGCTTATCTATAATACTTCATTAACAGTTATCTCTTTGTTTCTCCTTTTCGTATATATATATATATATGTGAGTGTGTGCGTGTGTGTTTAAAATTTTATAAAATATATATATATATATATATATATATATATTTAAAATTTTATATATGTATGTATTTAAAATTATATATAATATATATATAATTTTAAAATCATTTGATCTAAAAATAACTGTTAATTTAAGATATGTCTATAATCTCGTTAGCTTTTAAATATCGTTTTTCTTACTTCAACGATAACAGATGCAGCAACGAACGATAAATTATATTGTGTAAATAATTGCATCGAAAAAATGGTATTATAAGCTGTTAGTTTTATAAAATGAATCAATCGAGGCACATCCATATGTCGTTTTATGAATTATTCATTACTGATTTTCATACTTGATAACATTTGTATTTACAAATCTTTCGAAGAAATGTATATATATATATTTCTTTTCTTTCTTTTTTTTTTCAAATAATTTCTTTCTCTGATTATGCATATTAATCCGTACTCAATGTGATATATTTTGATTGAATTTTAAATTTTAAAATAAGAAAATAACAAAGATAAGAAAAGAAATGAGGTGTGTCCACTTTAAGCGAAATTTATTTTTGAACAAATCGCACACCAATATCCCGTTAGTCAGTTAAATATCAAATAAAAATTGAATATTTTCATCTATTAATTTTGTGATAACTGAATAGAATCTTACGAGTAAAAATATTCAATGATGGTATTTAAAAGAGGTCAGCTTGAAGGATTAATCTTCTTCGAATAATTATTTCATTCTCGCCGAAAGAAAAGAGAAATGAGAAAAAGAAAAAAAAAAAGCAATAAAAGAAAGGAATATAAATGGAACACGATGAT